AATTTAGTCATGAATAAGATTAAAAACATGCATGGTCATATTCTTGGAAAAGTCATGAGTTTTAGTAATACTAGATTTTCACCCGTGCGATGCGCGAGACATATATTAACGTGTAATTATATGATTTTATATACTAACATTACTAGTTAATGTGTAATGATTGCAACGCGTATAGATGTGATACACATAAATAATTATAATTAAGGAACAAATACTTATGAGTCATAAGTGGTACGATACCTTTTATAGAATAAGAAGGGAAAAATAAAGGATACAATAAATTTCACAATGACTAAATATTTCGAAACATTTCCATGTAAACAACATCAATAGCGTGGTTGTTTTTCCCCATCTTCATTTTGACGAAAGTGTTAGATGATTTTGTGATGAGGCCACGAAACTTCCTGTGCATTTTGATCAACAATTTCTGTACACAAAAAATACATATATCTTAAAAAATAATTAAGATAAACATATGATATGAATTTATTCATTTTATTTTTATCATTATACATATCATTACAATTAAAAAAAGGTATAATAAATATAAATATAATGAAGCCAACAATTTTATGACATTGTTTTTTTTGGATAAAACACAGCCTTTTCGTTATATTCAGCCCTTTTATTAAGAAAGTAAGTAAAATATACGCCATAATACAGAACTTTTAACGTTGTCCCTTACGGTCTTGCCCATACCTACGGCCTGTTTTAGGCATTTCCAAAAGACAGTTAAAAAATAAGAATGGGGTAAAGTCCATTAGGAGGAAAGTAGCACTAAATAATACTCCATCCGATCCTAAATAAACTTAACACTTTATTTTTTTGGGTAGGTCCAAAATAAACTTCATACTTCTTCTCTCTTCCATATTTGGCAAATTATCTACATCAAAACAGTGCAAAACAGTGTCAAACAGTGCCACACAGTGCCAAACAGTGTCACAACAGTGTACTCAACAGTAAAGTCAAATTTATTTCCTTAATTTGTGTGAAGTCAAAGTGTGAAGTTTATTTAGGACCGGAGGGTGTATTTTTTTTATCTATAATATTTTAAAGAGTAACATTTACAAAATTATTTCATTATAAAATTCAAGTAAAGCAGACATTTATCAGATAGTCCAAAGCAAATTTCAGCTAGTAAAAACATCTAAGGGTATGTTTGGGAGTTCGGAGAGAAAGAGAGGGGTGAGAAAGTCTTTCTTTGTATTTGAGAGTAATAAATTTGGAAGAAAGGGAGTTTTTGAATGAATTATAATTAAAATCATTTTGAGATATGACGAATTTAAATAATTGAACTGATATTTATTTTTATTGAGCTTAAATTACCATTTCATTAAGGGAAAATTTCCGAAATAGGACTAAAACAATTTGAAAATTCCAAAATAGGACTGTCATGTTTTTATTCCCAAAATAGGGGGTAATATTCTCTTTCATGAATTATCCTTCAAAACAGTCCAAATTTGAAGAACTTAAAAATTGAAAATTTAGAGAGTTTTGGAGGGTTATTAAAACAAAAATGCTATAGGTACCCCACTTTTTACCCCATTTGCACCCCATATAAATAACCTAATTTTTTTCTCCCTCTTCCTCTGCGCCTAACCCTTCTCTCTCCTTTTCTCCGCGCCTAACTCATCCCTCTCAGATATCTCTCCTTTAAATTCATCTTCTTCTTCTGACCTCTTTTTTTCTCCTATTTCATTCTTCCTTCTTCCTTGTTTGCCCCTGTCTTCAAGTACTCCCTGTTCCTTCTTTGGTGTGAAGAATCCATAGCCCCACAAAAATGTGCAGTCGGATAGAACACAAATTGAAGAACGAGGCCTCTAGACCATATCGCTCATTCCAAATTTAAATATTATTTAAATTACTAGGAAAATATTGTATAACGAAATGTTGGAAATATTTCTTTGTAGTGTTTCAGTCCATTATGCCGCCTTGGTTACCTTATATATTGACCATGTCAATTAATTAAGTCAATACCTTCAAGTTCCCCAGAAGAAAATAACTCTTAGCTAGAAGTAGTTTGATTCAGTATGTCTCTTCCACATCATTTTCCTTAGGTATGCCTCTTTCTCCATTCTTTCCATTTTCTTCATTTTTTTGTTGTTTATCTTTTATTTCATGAATAATACTCTGTATATGTATATCTTTTAATGTTGAATGATTGATTATGTTGTGTTATTGTGAAAATTTGTGATATTTATTATTGAAATTTAGTCCAATTATACTATGTCATTTTATGCCCATAACATGTTTGTAGAAATTACTCAATGAATTTTTTGTTGAAATTCAAGACTTCTTTTTTAATTTTTTTGTACCTCAGTGTTTAATGAGTATTTTTATGGATTTCCAATTTAATATGATATGGTAATTTTTTCCAATTTAATATTTTTAAATTGTCTGTCATTTGTTTGTTAGTTGTATGTATTTGTTTCGAGTTGTCTGTAATGACTTGTCTATCATGTTGTTGTGATGAGTCTATAAGAGTTGTGAAGTTGTCTGTCGTTTTAAAAATAGATGTTTGTAATTCATATTTAGTTGTTTGTCAAAGTTTATGGTAAAGTAGATTGGTAAAGTTTATGACTCTATGTGTGCCTCAATAGCAAGCATGGTATTAAACTTAATATTTTTTTGCATTACATGTATTGTCCGTGTTAAGTGTTCTAAATGTTTGAGTATGCTTTATTTGTCTGTCTACATATCCGAATAATGTGACATCATGGTCAAATTATTTGCAGAGCAGCTATTACTAAGGAAGTTATTGATTCCTGACTATGAGTACGCCAACATGGCGCTTGAAGAAGGTTGAAGCATGAAGTGGGGCAAATGTGTGGATTTTGAACTTGTGTTTTTTTTGAATATGTATTTTTTTACAAACATTACAACGTCTCTCTGTGTATGTTGTTCTTTTGTCTGTCTGGGTATCCTCCGTATTGTCTATTTGTGTAAAGTTATTGTCTCTTTGCGTAAAAATAATGTCTGTCTGCTTATCTCTATTTCCCCAACACTCTATGCTTCAATTTAGAACTGCAGCGTCTGTCTAGCCAGACAAAATTTGTCTGTCCCCGACATTTGTAGTCTGGGGTATGTATTAGTTTTGTGTCTTACACCCAGACACAAGTTGTTTGGGCCAGAGTGCCAGACATTAGTAGTTTGGGCCAAGTAACAACTTTGCGAAGTACAACCAAACAAAATTTGTCTATCCCAGACATTTTGTAATCTGAGTGTATGTATTACGATCCGTCTTACAGCCAGACAAAATTTGTTTGTCCCAGACATTTTGTAATCTGAGTGTATGTATTACTTTTCGTCTTACAGCCAGACAAAATTTGTCTGTCTCAGACATTTTGTAATCTGAGTGTATGTATTACTTTCCGTCTTACAGCCAGACAAAAGTTGCCTGGGCCAGACATTGGTAGTTTGGGCCAAGTAACAACTTTTGGAGTACAGCCAGACAAAATTTGTCTATCCCTGACATTTGTAGTCTGGGTGTATGTATTATTTTCCATCTTACAGCCAGACAAAAGTTGTCTGGGCCAGACATTAGTAGTCTGGACCAAGTAACTACTTTCTGGAGTTCAACCAGACAAAATTTGTCTGGCCCAAACATTTCTTGTCTACCTCACATATGTTCTTTGTACTACACATGTGCTCTGAATAATAATATGAAAGAGTAAATATCTTTTTGACATCATTGTCATCTGATATGATATAAATACCAACTAACAATTAAAGATACGAGAGTAATAAACAAAAATGGGAATTTATCCTCCTAAGTTTACTCTTTGTCTGTGTCAATACAATAGTTGTCTGCATGAGTAAAATTGCCTTCCTAAACATATTTAGAAACAATAATTAGATGTAAATACATGATATACATTAGTTCACATATAATTAGGTTCCAATCTTTATTTCAGCATTTTCTTTGCTAGAGGCTTCTTCACTGGAGGTTTTTTCACTCGGGTCTTCGTGAGTGTGCTTCTAACCATCATAGCACTAGCAGAGCTACAACAAAAAAGTAAAATATCAATGTATTATAACTTTGCCACAAAAATCAGAGAATAACTTTCTATTTTCCATGACTCTAAAAGAATGCTTTTCCAATTTTGGGCATATTTCGACCTTAATAGTTCAACTCAAGTGAAGCAAGGGACTTGGATGGAAGAACAACTGACATTATCCGTGTATCTCAAATTTTTTAAAAAATCACATCAAGCAAAATGAATATGAGTTTCTATAAAGTCATTGAATCATTTTGACAAACATCTTATGAGCATAAAAGTGAAATAGAATAGTTGAATTACAATTTTAAAAATAAAACATCACAATCGATACCAATATAACAATATAAAAGTGGAATAGAATACACTTTAGAGGCATCTATTCAAGAAAAAATAAAACATCAATTCAGGAAAAAATAAAATTATTGAAACTCTAATTCGTATTAACAGAAAAGGAGAAAATTCTCATTTTTCCCCAAAAAGTCATAGATATTAAAAACCCTAAAATTAGAAATTGGGTAAAGAAGAAAGGGATAGAGGAGCATATAGAAGGGAGTTACGGATGGGAGTATACCATCTTTATCATTGTTGTCTGTATCAGTTCTAGCTACAACAATGTCGTTCGTTCTTTAATTTGTGTGCTATCCGACTGCACATTTTTGTGGGGCTATGGATTCTTCACATCAAAGAAGAAGGAAGAGGGGGTACCTGAAGACAGGGGCATAAAAGGTTAGGCGCAAAAAAGGAAGAATGAAATAGGAGAAAAAAAGAGGCGAGAAGAAAAAGATGAATTAGACGCATAAATATCTGAGAGGGATGAGTTAGTCGCAGAGAAAAGGAGAAAAAGGAGAGAGAAGGGTTGGGCCCAGAGGAAGAGGGAGAAAAAAATTGGACTATTTATACGGGGTGCAAATGGGGTAAAAAACGGGATACCTATAGCATTTTTGTTATTAAAACCTTCCGAAACATCCGCTCGGATTTTATAAATTCTCCTGAACATGTTATAAATCCTCATCGACCTTTGTCTTCCCATCCAAATTCCCATCCAACTCCCAACTCCCAACTCCCAACTCCCAACTCCCAAACTCCAATTCCGTAATTTTGCACCTTTTCCCTCTTTTTTTTTTTGCTTTAGCCGGTTCCCTCCCAAAGCAGCCGGCCCCACACCTCATTATCTGCGAAGAACCAGAAGGCAGATGTAAGAAGTCAGAAGCCGTTCGCGAAGAAGTCGAGCAGCTTCATTACAGAACCTCCAAATCCAAGGTTTTTTAATTCTTTTAGGGATGTGTGGTTGTGAATTTTGAGATATTATCCGTTTTATCAATTATGGATGAGTGAATAGGTGTGGTAATTTTGCTATTAGAGTTAATCTCATTGGATAATGGTTGATAACATTCTATTACGGAATAAATTGTGAATATGTTAGGTAGGTATTTTGATTAGAGTAGCATCTGGATTCTGCTCTGCCCTACTTTCTTTATTTCTGGCTACTATCAATTGGGTTTTACTTTTATTGGACATTTTATATCCTTAATTCCTTATATATGTTTACGTTTAGCCCATATCTTAACTTGGACTGTTTTTAGGATGACAAATTATTATGACGTTGATGATATCTTAGCTGAAGAAGAGGTCAGATTATCCATTTCTTGAATTGCATTACGAATCCAAATTTTGTGGAAATCAATACTCTTCTTTTAATTAAATAAATTTTGTGATTTTTCTTTTTCTTTTCATGTCTTGATTTCAGCTGGTTCCAGCTGTATTCCAGAAGACTGCTAATGGAGTCGGGATATTTGATTGCTGTGATGATACAAATAAGGTTATGACTGGATTATTTGAAAAAGGCTTTTTATAAGTATGAGGGCCTTGAGGGGCTTTAACTGCAAAATCAAAAGCTGATAAGGGTACTTCAAACTTTAAGGTGGGAGCCGGTACTGAAGTGGAAATGCCTTTCTGGCTTGCATGTGACCTATATGTTAAACAAGCAGTGAAGATCAAAGTTCCGTCATGTTTTGACACCAAGTAAAGTTTGCATGCTCCCTCTTTGTTTTATCTATGCTGATAATAATGACATTGCATGATTTTAGAAATAGAAATTATAAAAGATATGGCAATTGGCAATTGTGTTTGTATAGAGTGAGGAGGCGCTGCCCCTTAACTTTGCCCACCCACAATGTATTGATTGATCAACATGATGCATATATGCATCCATACCAAGAGGGTTCCGATATACTCTTCATTTGGCAACATTGCAATACCATATTTCAAAAAAGCTAACAGTAGCATATTTAAACACTTAACTAAAAGTATGGACTATGGAGTATGGACTATGGAGCTAGTGACATAAATTATGTTAAGATATGGGCTATGGAGCCAGGGAGCTACAGTGCTCACCTTTGGGCCCAATATATTCTTCATTTTGCTACCCTGTCACTCTGAATGACCCCCATGACAAATTCCAGAAATCTACTATATTTAAGTTTTTACTTGTCCACATCATTTATTTCTCAATCTGCTATACTGTTCAACTAAAATCTAGAGCTACTTGAAGTGTTCTAAAATTGCAAAACATTTACTCGGTAATTAAGAGGTCAACCAAGCTAAAATCCAGTTTAATAAGTTTTGTCTTGAACTCTTGATTCATCCCTTGTAGGTGCCTCTGAACTAGGTCTTGTTAAGTGTAGCAAAGGAAGTGGATTTTTACCTTAACCCTTGCTATACTTGATCTGAACACTTAACAAGAACTGAGATCAAACATTAAGTTTGCACCATACTCTTCTTTAGTAGAGGCTCAGTACAAATTAATGTATAATGTCCTCATTTTTGGTTAATATGACCTTCATTTATGCTATGTTAAATATCTCACTGTTCGGGGTTGTCAAAATTTTTATTAGAGAAATGCTAAAGGTACCCCAAAATGGGGTACCCCGTCCTTACCCCGGCCTAATGTGTGGCCATAAATGGGGCAACACATTTAAGTGGTGCCCCACTTAAATGTGTTGCCCCATTTATGGCCACACATTAGGTAGGGGTAAGAACGGGGTACCCCATTTTGGAGTACCTTTAGCATTTCTCTTTTTATTAATAGGCTGTAGGCCTAAAACTGATTTCAAAAATTCAATTCCTTCTGAACTTTTACATGTGAATATTATTGTAATCTATTCACTAGAGAGAGACCAAGAGATAGACACCGTGATGAACCAATAAGAAAAAGGGACAGAACAAAAGATGAAATTGGAGCTGATGCTGCACATGTAGATCTGAGAGGTCGATGCCCATATTTTTACGAATTCGGATGCAAGATAGCAAGACTGTGAGTTACTTATATCTTTCTTCATTATATGGTGCATCAAGTAAGGGGTGGACTTGGGCTGGTTCCTGTTCTGGAACTGCAGTTTTCTGGATCATGTTTATGAGAGAGCCTTAACGGGAACTGCTTTGTGCCGATAGGGTCTATTTGCAATTCCTTATCCAATTCCGCGGTTCCAGATCGGAATTATAGGTCATTAGCTTTTAAAAAAGTACCTTTGGGGAACCGATACCGGAACCACCTGTCCTTCTATCATCATTAAACCCGTAACAGGAACCTATATTACATCAGTCTGGTTCTGGTTCTTGCTTCTCCGGCTCTGGTCTGGTTCCAGATCCACAGGTTCCGGCAATTCTTTTACCAAATGCACATATATATATAATTATAATCAACTTGGTGGTTTTGAATAATGTTGGCATTTTGACACAAATTACTCAAATCAGTAGTGTAGAATCTAAAGTACAAAGTATCTCATACTTATTATGTTTCATGTATGACAGTTCTTTGTAACTCTGAGCGTGCTAATTTGTTATTTGGTACTATGTTGAATATGATTGCCATTTTTTGCTTGCGACCTCATTAAAGCTCAACAGCTGTTGCTGTGCTATGTTTTTGGGTTCTTAATAGACATTGTCCTCTAGTACATAAAGATTGACACTTAAGGTAAAATGGAATAGCATTTATTGTGCAGCAATATGGTTAAGAAATAGCATTGATTGTGCAGCAATATGGTTAAGAATAGTTTGCTTCTGTATATATGGTGCTTCATATTCAATTGTGGAGGTATGCAAATTGTGTTAAGCTGTTAGTATGTTATACTCCCTCCGTCCCAATTTGATTTGCAAAATTTCCTTTTTTGGTTGTCCCAATATGGTTTTCCACTTTCTATTTTTGGTATGTAAATAAGAATAAAGTGACAAATTTACCCTTACTTTTACTTTTTCCCATTAACTTAAAGGCATCTACTTTTAGAAAGATGGGCAAAAGTGTAAAAAACAAACTTCATTTATTGTCATTTCTTAATCCTCGTGCCGGTCAAAGTTTGCAATTCAATTCGGGACGGAGGGAGTAGTGTTCTCAACATTGAGTTACTTGAGTTATTGGTAATTCAATAAAGTTACACCAAGAATGACAAGAACTGGGAAGTGGGCACACCCATGGTATATGGAGGTTTTTTATTCATGCAATGTAAAAATGGAGAGTCTTAGGCATCTTCTAATTCCTAACTTTTGTTTTCTTCCAAAATATCGGCATCACCCAATTCCCAAGAAGTCTCTTATTCCCTGATAATAAGATGCCATTCCAAATGAGAAATGGTTGAAATGCTAGTTTGGGTATTAAGTCATCTAGTTTTGGAGAGACAAAACATAAGCATTAAATTACCATTATACAATCAAGTTAAATTATAATAGTTCAATTGCCAAATACCATATAATGATACGCATAATTATAAGTTCAGAAAGTCTCAAACACATGATATGATCACTCATGGGGTTATGGAGCTGAGATGGATACTGAAAGGCCGTCCATGCCCAGGATTATGAAACCGGTACAAATACTGGAAGGCCTTTCAGACGCAGGCCCGAGACTGAAATGACCAGAACAAGACATGAATTGACAAAGCAGGGCTTGATACGGCTAGCCCAGGACTTGAATGGATGGAGCCAGGGCGTGAGACCTGGACGTACAAAGCCAAGATGGGAGACTTGACCGACCTCACCAGGAAGACCCCTATTCTGAGTAGACAGGGAAGACCTTGGGCGCTGACCTCACGGGATCGGTCCGGGATTGCCGACCAGACATGGAAGACCCTGCCTGCCAACCTCATGGGATTGGCCTGGGACTGCCAACCTCATGAGATTGGCATGGTACTGCCAACTACATTGGGAAGACACCGGGGTTCAAATTATAATCACATAGTTCGTGGAACGCTTTGGTATGTGAATGAGGACTAGGAACGTGGTTCACTAGGTCTAGCATATGCGGTCCAGAGGAGGGTAGGTTCATCTCGGTATGCGTTCGGTATGATGTACCTGATGTTCGGTACGTTGTACCTTATGTTTTGGTACTATAGTAAAAGACATAAAACAGAAGTACATATTTCATAACATCAAACAAAAACAGATTCCATAACATGATTTCATAGCATTAAACAAAAACAGATTTCATAACATGATTTCATAACATTAAACAAAATCAGAAACATTAATATTCTAGAAACATTTGACTCAAAACTGAAAAACGGGATCAGAAACATTAATTGAAACAGAAAATTTTTTGTGTGATCGGTTGTAATCGACATGAATAGCAATTGCGATCGAAGGATAGCGATTGCGATCGCAATGAACAGTGAATGGGAATGAGTTGGGAGTGTACTATCTGGCGATCCAGGTAGTGTCTGGAACGCTTTCGTACCGCAATTGGGTACGTAGCCTTCGGTTCACAGATCGTGGCCTCTTATGTTTCTAACTACAAAATAATTAGAAATGTGGTTTGTTTGAGGGTTTGCTGCAAACTATGAATTCCACGTATCTTTTATTGAAATGTATATATGCCAACTATAAACTATGGTGTTCACTTCTCATATTCCTTTGTATTATAATCAATGATTTTTTAAAACGTGCAATAAGGCCTACTCATAAACCTTGTGTAAATAAAAGTATACTCCACAAAGGTGTGATATAAGGCCAATATAAAATGTGCTTAAATGTGTAGTCTTAAATATAAACATGCATGTTTCAGTTAAAGTTTAATTTTATGAGTCTTTGCAAAGAAAGTAAAATGATTATATAATACAGTTAGCATGATTACTTATCTCCAGTTTTGTTTTTGACATAAGTAATTAAAATATTGGTATTATATCCCGGAGGTTTTAAGTTGTGGTATTCGGGAAGAGATAAGACTAGAAATGGGGTAGACATTATTGTAGCGCGTGACTATGTTGAGGATGTGGTAGAAGTTTTCAAGAAGAACGATCGCATCATGAACATTAAATTGGTGATAAGGGGTGCGATTGTGTCTGTGGTAAGTGCCTATGCAGCACAAGTGGGATTGGATGCATCTACAACTCAACAGTTCTCGGAAGATCTTGAAGACGTGGTGCGACGAGTGCCAAGGGGAGAGAAGTTGATCATAGGAGGTGACCTCAACGGGCATGTGGGCTCGAGTCGTGATGGCTTTGAGAGTATTCATGTTGGACATGGTTTTGGCACTAGGAATGAGGCGGGAAAGAACATTTTAGATTTTGCCTTGACGTATGAGTTGGCTATAATGAACACTTGGTTTAAGAAAAGAGACTCTCACCTTGTAACCTATAAAAGTGGAGCTAATAGTACCCAAATTGACTACTTCTTAGTACGGACCACTTGGAGAACTAGCTACACTGATTGTAAGGTTATTCCAGGTGAGAGTGTTGTCACTCAGCATAGGATGCTTGTGCTTGACTTTCGAGGTAAGTGAAGTTTTCTGAATATTATTTCCTTGAATTCATTTACAAGAAGTACATAAGCTATTTATACATATAGGAATCCTGAGAGAGTCTATTCAGCACCCTAGGTGACTGTCTAAATACTAAACATAAATGATTGAGCACTGAAAAGACAACAGCTATTAAATACAACCTGAAGCACTAAAGACACATAATTACAGTAATAATAAGGAAAATAAATCCTAGATTAATGATGTCTCTTCGTTTTATCAACACTCCCCCTCAAGCTAGGTTTGTAGATATCCGTCATGCCTAGCTTGACAATAAGACCCTAGAACCTAGGACTGTGCAGAGGTTTGGTAAACACATCTGCAACTTGATCTTCTGAGGGAGTGTAGCTTAGTTCGATCAGACCTCCTTCAACCTTTTCTTTGATAAAGTGCCTATCAATCTCAATATGCTTGGTCCGATCATGTTGGACTGGATTATGAGCTATGTTGATTGCTGATTTGTTATCACACCTCAATTCCATTGGTCCTTTCCACTTGATTCGTAAATCTAAGAGAATAATTCTGATCCATAGAAGTTCACATAAGCCATGGGCAAGAGCTCTTAGCTCAAATTCAGCAGATGATCGTGCCACAACATTCTGTTTTTTGCTTCTCCATGTCACGAGGTTTCCTGCTAGGAAAACACAGAGACCAGTAGTTGACCGACGGTCAACGAGGGAGCCACCATAATCTGCATCAGTGAAGGCTTGGACTGATAATTGCCCACCCTTCCTGAATATTATCCCTTGCCCTGGACTTCCTTTTAGGTAGTGAAGAACCCTATAGGCTGCTTCTAGATGTGGTTTCCTTGGATCATGCATGAACTGATCCACTTGTGATAGTATAGGTGGAGAGAGGTGAAGGATGTGGAGTATCTTGGGATACAGGGAGAGAAGTAGGAGTGTAAAAAGGTGTGTCTTCGTGAAAGGTCACATCTGCACTGGTGTATGTCTTTCTGGTTGTAGGATTATAACACTTATATCCTTTCTGAGTTGGAGAATAACCAAGAAAGATACACTTAATAGATCGTGGGTCCAATTTTCCCCTTTGAGGTGGAGGAATATGAACAAATGCAGTACACCCAAACACCCTTAGATCAAGATCAGAAGAAATTCTGGTTTGAGGAAAGAAGTGACGGAGAGATTCAAGGGGTGACTTATTTTGGAGTACCCGACTGGGAATTTTATTGATGAGATGACATGCTGTGAGTGTGGCTTCCCCCCAATAGTGTTTAGGCATATTTGATTGAAACAATAAAGCTCGACTGACGTCTAGGAGATGGCGATTTTTTCTTTCTGCTGTGCCATTCTGTTTTGGTGTGTACGGACAAGAGGACTCATGAACAATGCCTTTTGAGAGGAAATAAGAGGAAACAGTTTGATTGAAGTATTCAAGAGCATTATCAGTGCGGAAGCGTTTTATTGTGGCGGAGAACTGATTATGAATCATATTGCAAAAGATAGGAATGATGGAACTCACCTCACTCTTGTTTTTTAGCAGAAAAACCCACATAAAACGTGTACAAT